TTGCTGGACAGCTCCTCCTTATGCAGAGAAGTTGTTGATGGAGGAATGGAGTGGGAGGAGTGGGCTCCAGAGACCAATCCAGGTATTAGGAGTTCTTTGTATGTTTAGATGTCTTATGTAACTATGCTGGTACTCATTTTAATTTAGAAACTGAAAGATAAGATTACTTGATGTTAAGAATTCCCTTACTCAATTAGGTAAAATTCCAAGTGCAATTTTCTTTAAATAAAAAAATATTTTCTGAGTTGTGAACTCAGAATTACATAACTCTTTCCTTCTTCCCTAGGGGAAAAAGAAGGAAGGATTCTAGAATATGGGGACTTGCCTTGGAGTCAGGAATTCCAGAAACATATGGGAGGAAGCTGAAGGAGTTACTAGATAGAGATGGAGAGACATCTGTGGGTTTAAGCAGCCAATGAGAGCTGCTTTGTCATTTGTGTTCTGTTATGAAAAGGGACCAATGGCTAGAGTGTCTCTTTTTAAGGTAGAGTTTTATTCCTTCTAGAATCATAGTTCAAGGAAAGGTCAAGTTTCTTTCTTTCCTTTTTGAAATATACACATCGTCTCCCTGAGGTTTTATGATCAATTTCATCTCTGTCATCCAGGGGAATTGAAAAAATAAGGAAATGGACTTCTAGTGTTTGTATACACAGTAACTCTCTTTATTGTTTCTTTTCACTTCGACCCTGCTAGAGTAACCCATAAATAAACAAAAGATTGAAAAAGGCCTCTATATTTCAGAGGACAATATTTAGACTGTCTGAGAGATGAGGTGGCATTTCAGGTTCTACCTTTGAAAATGGTGACCATGGAGAAAAGTAGAGAAAATGAAGTATGGGTCATGTCCTCACAGCTTATACTGTCCATGCTTCCCCCTTCTTTTGGTATTATTTCACTGTAGATCTTCCCACAGTATGTAAAGGGGTAAGGGTACAATGAACAGGACAATGGGAAAGAAATAGCAATATAGAATGGAAATTTCGTGCCAAAAAATAAAGTAAAATAAAATAAAATTAAAAAAGAGAGAAAATACTTGGAGGGAAGAAGGACCTGTTGGTGATATAAGGAGCATTACTGGGGAAGAACAGTGATTCAGTGAGGCTATCCTCAGATATGTGCAAAATGCAGGTAATAGGTAAGTTGGAGTGCAGAGAAATAGGTGCATGCACACATGCACTCATGAGCGTGCGTGCGTGCCTGCATGCGTGCGTGCGTGCGTGTGTGTGTCTGTGTGTGTGTGTGTGTGTGCTTGGTTCTCTTTCCTTCAAGTGGTTCTGGGGACAGAACTCAGGTCATCAGGTTTGGTAGCCAGTGTCTTTACCTGCTAAACCATCCCATGGGTTCAACATTTTTGATAGCTGAAGCTGGATTTAAATATTCTAAGTAATTCATTTCTGCCTGTGCATTTGCATGGTTGAGAAGTTCTTATGACATTAACCTCTCCCAATTATTTGCTTTAGGACAAGTTCAATATGAGCTGAAAATGAATTTGAATTACTTTTGTACTCCTAGAATCTCCAACTTTGTACTGAGACAGTAGTAGGTCATTTGTTGAATTGATGGGTAAGTTGATTAATGGATTAATGGTTTAAGGAAAGACAGTAAGTTCATTTTACAGTCCACACAACACCAACTCAGTTATTTGATAACAATTATCCTAAAATGCCCCCTCTGTAGCCACTACTCCCCCAGCTCAACCTCCCTGATTACTCTCTTAACTCAGGCAACCTATCCTGCTGCTTATATAAGCGCTTGTCAGTTCCTTACAGATTCAGAGGAGACAGGAATTCAAAACAAGAGGTAACCAAGAATCCTCCTGATCACAGCATCTTTCTCTAGCTGTTCTTTGGACTAAAAGGCCTTTTAAACTTTCTGTAATCATTCTAAAAGCCAACTGTTTCAATAAATAAATGTTCTCAATGCTACAAAATATAAAACTTTAGGTGTGTTTCTTCTCAATTATTTTTCAAGCCTTTAATATAATTAGATAATTAACCATATATAATTTTGTGGTATACATCTTAATTAACATTATGCTATAGATGTTCTTAAATGACAATTTCAATAATACCATTTTAAGTAGTGATTATTTTTCACTGGAGAAATATATGGTTATTTATCTAACCAACAGCTTGTAGTTGCACACATCAAACATGTTGCTATGCTACATGAGGGAAAAAGTCAATGCACAGGAATTTTTGTACATTTTTGATCACTAGTTACAAATTACTAAATGAATAGGTTCTGGGTGGGAGGAGATTCATTTTGAATGACTTGAAATTCTCTCAAGATTTCTTTCTCAGAGCTCAGAACAGGTTGAATTCCTGTGTGGAGTGTAAATTGCAATGCTCTGCAGATCCCTTCATGACCTTTATGTCCATTCTGAACACTTAAACATATTTTTATTTCCATTCTTTTAAATTTTTTCTCTTCAAACTAATATTTTCTTCATTCTTTAAGAAACTATTTTTAAATTAATTTTATAAACTTTATTATAAAAATAAATAAATAAAAATATACACCACAGTTAACTTGACCCAAAGTCTATACAACTTAATAAATGATGATATTGAACCACAAATCTATGACATAATATAAATCAACTTTTTGTCCTTTTCATGACTTCTGTTCCCCTCACTAAAGGGAGAGTTTTATACAATATAGTTTGATCTTACCCAACTCCTAACTATACACCTTCCTGTCTTCTCCCTTTTCTTCCTTTCTTTCTTCACAACCCCACTAACTCCAATTTCTGTTCCTCAAATACTCTTGGATATAAGGACAACTCTTGGATCATGGCTGTCCTACCATGCTCATACCCGTAAAGGAAACTTATCATCCTTCTCCAATAAGTTATCAATTGCCAACAATTATTTAGCTAGGGGTAAAACTTTCTGCCCACTTATCCCCCAATTTCCCCTCCATGGTAAAACTTTGTCTGGCTTGATCTTGTACAGTCTTTTGCATACTGTCATAACTGCTGAGTTCATATGTGTAACTGCTCTGTTTTGTTCAGAAAACACTGTTTTATTACACACTCCAATCACCCACTGCCTCCATCTATTTCAATTCTATTGGTCCTCTTCTTCCACGAGCTTTGTGGGGAGGTGTATGATACAGATGTTTCATTTGGGGCTGGGGACTCTGAAGTCTCTTATTTTCCACAAGTTGACCAGTTGTAGCTCTCTACTACAAGAAGCAGCTTCTTGACAAGAGTTGAGAGATGCACTAATCTATAGATCTAGCAGTAAGCCCTTAGGAGCTAGTTCAATTCTATGTCCAGTTAATAGAATAATAGTCATAAATTCTCCACTAGGATCTACAACCTATGTAAACATAGGCTCTAACAGTGCCAGATATGGATTCCTTCTTGTAGATCAGAATTTAATCAAGCAGAAAGTGCTTGGTTACTCCTAGCCATTCACCAGTGGGAATATTTTGCAAGGTCATTCATTATTGCAGCTCATGGGATTTTAGATAGGTAAGACTAATGATGACTTTTCTCCCCTGGTAACATGCACAGCACCTTCCAGCACTATAGAAGCTTGGCAGTACTCATTCCAGGTTAGTAGCAAATTGATTTCTTTATGTTTTATCACTCAAGTATATGGTATCTTCAGCAATAGTGCCTTACTGCCAAGTTCTGAAGGTGAACCAAGAGTAATGGCTACACTGTATAATGTTTGTGGGTCTGTGCAGCCTCAATGGCCAACAACTCCTATAATCAGAATGGCTAATATAAAAAAATGACAACATATGGTGGTATGTATATGGGGAAATGGGGATACTTATTCATACCTATTGGAAGTGAAAACTGCTTCAACCATATTGAATTCAGTGTGGAGGTTCCTTTAAAAGATAGAACTATATCTATCACATGATCCATCTATATTATTCTTGGGCATATACCCAAAGGACTCTATATCTGCTCATCTATGTTAATTGCTGCTCTATTCACAATACCAAGGACACATAAACAGCCTAGATGTCCATCAGCTATTGGATAGATAATGTACACGTGATACATTTATACAATGGAATATTGTTCATCTGTTAAGAAAAACAAAACTATGAAATTTACAGATAAATTAGTAGAAGGTGATGCAGAAAGACAAATGTCATGTTTCCTTTCATATGTACATATTAGCTTTAAATTTTAGCTTTGCATGTTTCATATAGAAAACCCACAGAAGTCAAGAAAGTATTAAAGGACCACAAAGTGGTTGTATGTGGGTAATCAGGAGTGTTTTCAAGGGAAGGGCATATAATATAGTGTATAAGAGATGGGGGATAATGAAACTGGAATGGTTAAACTGTGTGGGCTTAGAAGGAAGAATGGGGAAAGATAATTAACTCTAAAGACCTTTGGAGAAAGTTATATGTAACCCTACTAATGTAGAAGCATTCTAAAATATATACATATAAAATTTAAATGGAGTCACCCTCTGCACAAAAATAATGCTCCTATTAAGTCTACATGCTAGCAAATAAAAGGCCCAGTGCCAGGTATGGATTATCTCTTTTGAAGTTATTTTGTTTCTCATTTGTTAATTCTTTATTTTAAAAACAGTTGTAGATTTAGAGAGAAAAAATGTGAAGATAGAATGCCATTATTTTGCATATTCCTCACATAGTTTCCCCAGTGAGCAATGTCTTCTGTTAAGTTGCTACTTGAAATACTCATTAAAGGAGGTCTATGGACTATGTTGTTCATCTAGTTCCTAATGCAAACTCAAATGTATATTTTACTCAATTGCTTGGATAGCTATTTGTTATCGAAATCTATTTGACTTTATGCTCTCAAGGCCTTGTGTACATATACACCCCCTCAGTGCATCAGTAGCCTTATAAGTGTGAAACCCCAAATGGGATAACACACTCACACCCAATGTTTGTTCTGAACACAACCTAAATTTAACATCAGTACCCACTAGTATGAGTTCCACATGGACATTAATCACAGGACTAAAAGCTCAAGGAGACAGAGGTTTGAGCATTACCAGCTCTCGGGGCAGGAAGCTCCCTTCTTGGCGGGCAATGACGAGTGACACTGTTTCTCCCTGCTTGGTGCTCCTCAGCATGGCCACAAGCTCTTCCTGAGTTCTTCCTGTGACATCTCTGCCATTTACCTAGTGATAGAACCATACACATATCCACAGTCAGGATATTTCCTATTGCCTCCCCTTGCCCCTTTTATTTGAGGTAGGTCTTGCAGAAGTTGCCCAGGGTATTGCTATATAACCAAGGCATCCTTGAACTCACATATTTCTGGCAGAGCTATTGAAAGCTGGGATTATAGACATGTATCACCATGAACAGCTCATAAGTGCTGTTTTTAAGTTCTATTTTGTGAATTAATCATGCAACAAATGGGTTCATGAATTCACTGAAGCTCTGAAAAGATGGTAATAAGCACATGGTTCAACATATATACATTTTCAATAATTAAATGGTCATCATAATTTTGATACTAGACAAATTCAATCAATAAATTATTTTACAGTGGGGATTTTCCCTAAGTCATTGCATTTTCAGAGAAGGAAAAATTACACTAAGAAGAATCAGAGAAATTAATTCATCAAATAGGTATGAAGTGGATTGCAATATGCCGGGCAAAAGTGAATTATTTATCATATGGCAACTTACTCTGGAAGTACAAGTATTTTGGTGTAATCCCAAATATTCCTTTTGCCTAGAAAACTGTTGTCAGTAGGTTATCATAGGTTTTTGGAATCAGCCTCAGAGCTTCACTTGTCAATTGGAGCATCCTTTATGATACAGAACTACATGGAATGCTAAAATGTTTCCAAAATATACATTCTTAGTGATACATGTTTGAAAGCAATTTTCCATGTCATGGGAGATTTAAAACCAGTCAGTCTCAACCAGGAGTCTCTCATTGTTGACTGTCCAAAGCTTCTTATTGAGATGATGGTGCTATTGGACAGTAATCAGTGGGAGAAACAAGCCTCATAGATGATATCTAAATACTTCTCTATGCAAAATCAGCTCAGCATCCTTATTCCTGCCTTAGTGTAGGGAATACTGACTTGGATCTGACAGTGTCAATAGGAGACCTCTCAAAATTTTGAAGAAACTACTACAGAGACCTGCATGAGAGTATGAAATTGTTAGCTCCAATTGTATTGAATAAACTAGATTAACTCAGATACCACAGGTGAAGAAAGAAGGAAGTAGGAAAATGTTAGTATTTGGTCCCACATCTCTGACCTTCTTGAAGACATCTACAGTTAGGCTTCTCATTAACTAGTTTTATAATTGAAGTAATTATTTTGTCTATAAGTACTAATTTCCAATATATGTTACATTAGAAATTAAGTATTTACCTCTAATTAGCCCTCAATATCTGTGAATTTAGTAGTAGAAATTTAATCAACTTCAGATAAAAAATACTGACAAAGTTGTATGTATACTGGACACTGAAAACTTTTTTTTGTCATGAGTTTCTAAACAAGACATAGTGTTTAAGTAACATTTGGATTGTGTTAGATATCACAAATCATCTAGGTAACGTTTTTTTCTCTTGTTTATTGAAATCATATCATTTTCACCTTCCCTTTCCTTTTTCCAAACCTTCCCCTTCCCATATATCCTGCCTTGCCTACTTTTTTTCATTGGTTGTTATTACATGCATGTGAGTGTGTGTGTTTGTGTGTGTGTGTGCATGTGCACACGTGTGTATTCCTAAATATAACCTACTCAGTCTGTATAAAGTCACAATTTAATGTATCATTTATATGTAAATACAATGCCATTTTATATAAAGGAGTTGGACATATGCAGATTTTCGAAGTTTTGGAGGATGCTGGGATCAACAAGAGACAGTGAGTGACTACTACATATGCTGTAATGAAAATTCTAATTGGTTTTAATAAATAGGTGCAAATGAAGAAAGATCACAGAAGCAGAGAGGCCAGCCACTAGTTATTATCTCTACTGAAGCTCAGACCAAAGGAGTGTTCCTGTCCCTACAAATCCTCTGACTGAATGAGTGATCCTGTTTCAAGGAATCTTCAGACTGAATGCCTGCTCTTCTGTCTCCTCCTGCCTTATATTCCTCTCTCTGCCCAGCCATATCCCTTCCTCATGCTGGCATTAAATGCCTGTGACTCCAAAGTACTGGGATTAAAGGTGTGAGTCATCACCACCTGACTCTGTTTCTCTTTTAGTTTGGATCAATCTCATGTAGCCCAGGCTAGTCTTGAACTCACAGAAATCCTTCTGCCTCTGTCTCCCAAATGCTGGGATTAAAGTTGTACACCACCATTGCCTCTATGTCTAAGTAGTAGCTTAGCTCTGTACTCTGATCTTCAGGAAAGCTTTATTTGTTAGATCACAAACAAAAGATCATAACAATATGTCTATATGTTTATTTACTTAAATATAAAGAAATATTTAATTGAAGACATTAACTTCAATTCTTACCTCCAAAATTCTGTCCCCTGATTGAAGGCGGCCATCCTTTATTGCTGCTCCCTTTGGTAAGATGTTTTTTACAAAAATGGGACCAGGACCATGAATAGAAGAGTCTCTGGTTACCACAGTGAAACCAAGTCCTTCAGGTCCTAGCATGAAAGACCAGAAAGATGTATTGTCTCCTTAAACCCTGGTTACATTGCATTCACTCCTTTAGTAAACTCTACCTAGTTTACATTAAAGCAGATCAAGTAAATTATTTACATTTCAGGAGATTTTACATAGCTTCTGTTTTTCCTGTTTTAAATAAAGATGACAGTTCTGAACAGACAATGATAGCATCAAAGTGAAGTTAGGATCCAATATATATGTAAAACACTTTTGTTTATTCAGGTTCTAGAAAACAATGCATGCTATCCATATGTCCATAGTATCAATTCTTCGCAATCTATCTCCTGACTTCATCTATGATCTTTTTCATTGGAGTTTTTTGGGTCTTTCAATCAAAGGAATTGTTTGTGGCTCAACCCTCTGCATGTGTCCTGGTTGCTTTATTGCTGTAGCCACAGTTTTGTCCCCAAAGGGTCTTGCTGTCCCTTCTCAGTTGCCTTAAATCCCCAACTTCTCCCTTCTATTCTGTCCAAAGATATATGCAGATTTCTTAACTGTAAACAATCTTGAAGCTTCCTGTAAAGTCCATTGTACCTCTAGCCTGTAACATACTGGGACGTGGTAGGACCTTTAGGAGATGGTGCTATTGGAAGGATGTTAGGTCATTACAGACATGCCACAGAAGGAGCTATGGCCATCCTCGCCCCTCATGTTTCTCTTTCTTTGTTTCTGGGCTGCTTGAAAGTGAGAGGCTTGCTTTATCGTACATTCTCATCATGCTCCATTGCTTTGCTATAAGTCCAAAGCAACCTGTCAACAAGCTCTGGACTGAAACTTCCAAAATTTGAGCTTCCAAACCTCCTGCTATTTCATATCTCTTGTTATATTCTTAGAAAGTTGGTAGACACACTTCCTATGACCATCTACAGGAATTCTTCCATACTTGGCCTTATTTTTTTAATCAATCTTTGATACTTTCTAATTATAATTTTCATAAATCAGCTTTCCCCTCATTTTTACTTTCATCTCTCTCTTTTTCATGGCACAATGTCTGTCACCCCAGAACTCACACCACTGTCCTCACACATAAGCACAGATGATGCCCAAGGATCTGTATTTGGAGAGTTTTCTTCTCATAACAGCCTCTGTCAGCTCTTTGATTCATTATCATTACCTTGTGGAACGGACCTAGCATCTGTTTGGTTCAATTGTCCCCTCTCCTCTCACCTCTCCATCTCTCTGTGCCTCCGTGTTTCTCTTTCTTTCCTGAGTTTAACTATGAATATTTCAAACTTTGCTATGTTTCCCCCTCTTCAACTCAGATCCTGCCATATCAAATATTCTCATCTACTTAAAATTCTAATTTCAATCAAAGACATTTCCAGTATGCAATTTGCCCTGGCTGAAAACCTCAGCAAAAACTGTAATTTTTCTTTCTTCCTTCCTATAACCATTTATCTATTAAGGCATGCCTATTATGATTTCACATGTGGACAGAGGCAATACACCCTTGTTGATCAGCTCTCCTCTTCAGGACATCTTCTTATAACTCTGGGACTGATTCTTCTCTCTTTTGTCAAAGCACCTAACTCATATACATGGCTATGTTATTGGTATACAATAATGCATTTGGACATGACTTATTTGTAATGCATTTAAAAATAGCATATCAACCTCTGTACCTTCTTTTCAACTCGCTTTATTCCCAAGATAAGATTTTTATAAGTGAATAAAATTTTGATTGAGAAATCTTTGCAGAATAATTTCTATATCCTAATGAAAGCTATGTGTTCTTTCTGAAATTCACAAATAATATTTAAATGTTTCCTGATGGCCATTAAATTATTAATTTAGTGGGAAAAAAACTATTAGAGTCTTTGAATTGGCTTAAAAACTACAGGATTTTAGAAACTTACAATGGGAAGAGGGTAAAGAATAAGCAGGGAATGAACAGGAACACAATAGGACATGGATACATGGGCATGTGTATAATGCTGCACCAATATGTTTGTATACACATGGCCCAGGATAATTGCTCTGTACTAGAAATTGAGAAATAGTTGGAAAAGATTAAAAAGTAACTTTGAAATTTGGACTATCCTGAAGAAATGTAAAGTTGAATTTGAAATTAATAATCATTATCTATTGTCTTTCTGAAGACTAATCCTTTCACTGATATAAAGGCCATTCTAGAGAGCCAGAGGCCTGACTGTTGAACTGGCCTAAAGGATGCTTTAAAGCAATCACTAACTCGTGCTCCAAATGAAGACAATCAACCTCCATGACTACTCAGTATTGAGCTGTCACAAAATCTGCTTGGCTTTTATCAAGTCTGCACTGATTCCATCCATATGATCCTCTTGTTTCAAATAATATAAACTTTGCAGAAGAAGAAAGTACTACAGTTTTTTAAAAAATTAAGTTATCCAAGTATACACTCAGATGTATTCTTTGATACGATTAAATAAAAAAGACTTAACCATATTAACCTTAATGAATTTCTCTTAACCAGTTTTACATGGTACAATAATAGAATGCTATTAAGCACAATTTAATAATTACCTTTCTTTAGGTCAATCTTAATTTTTTTTGCATTTTTCTTGCTGCCAAACCCCATGAGAGGGGAGAGTGAGGGAGACAAAGCTTTTTTTCCTAGTCTTGGAACTCTGGGGCTCTTGCTTTGCTGTGGGGAAGTTGGCTCATCTGCTTCAGGACTGTTTGTTCCTGCCAGATTTACTGCCTTTAATCCTGGTTTCCCACGGGTAGGAGGTAGAACCTTTGTTCTTGAAGATCCATCATTGTTGTCAAAAATGTTCAGTGGTCCAATGACTGATTTTTCATACTGCTCACGGTTTTGAGGCAGAAGTACATGTAAGACCACACTGGGGGATTTCATTGCCTGACGGAAGACATCCTGGGCCCTAGAAAGAGCGAATAAACAGAGAATGAATGATATGGAGTCCTGGCATACGACTTTCTTCCTTCCTTCTTTCCTTCCTTCCTCCCTTCCTTTCTTTCTTCCTTCCCTTTCTTTTTTTATTGTACATATCAATCCCAGTTCCCTCTCCTTGCCTCCCTTCCTAAGGTATGCAGCCTCATAATACAGGAGACCCTGTAATTATCACCACAGTGTGACTTGCTAACTAGTTAGCACCTGCTGTTTACTACCTGCCCACCAAGGTGCCTTCACACTAGGTACACATGCATGATGACTGTGTAGAATCATCTAGTTTAGTTTTCTTAACAACTGTAATTCACTTATATTTCACAAACCCAAATGGAAGCTCAGAGAGACTAAAGAACTTAACTGACAACTCTCAGCCTTTCAAGTGTCTCTAAGTAGGAAAATCTAACTAGAATTAATTACTGAAGCACACATTTAAAGCAAATTTAAATCCTTTTTTTTTTAAAAGTCAGATTACTAATCAATTATTTCTATTTGACTCTAAGTCGGTGTTTTATGACTCAGTTTCCACATTGGTAAAACAGGGATCATCAAGCTCCCTAGCCTTTGCAAAACAGGGTAGCAAAATATGCAAATGATGTAATTATTAATAAGTATTGTAATTTTGTTCAATAATAGTTGAATGTAATACATTGTTTTAGGAAGACATCATTTCATTCTACGCCTTAGTTGCAGCCATTGCTACACACCTTTCGCTGGCAGCCTCCCAGTCCCCAAACATTGACCGGTAATGGCCAGAGAGATGCTGTGCTATGAGCATTTTGACTCAGGAGCAGGAGAGGCTACTGATTATTAATGAAGATTATCACTACTTATTTGCTTCACTTAGAAGCCCTCAAAATGACAATGCACATCAATATATATGTGACTGGATTTTCCATACTATAATTCCTACGTAGAAACAGGTATTTGCCATAATATTTTCACATTCAGAAAGATGATTTCTTGAGGTAGCACATTTTAAATTTAATTTTTACAATTTGTTTCTGTTATTCATTGAGTCCTCATAGACATCACCCACAGATTTTACAGTTTAAGGAAGGCCGAATCAAGGATGTTAATTAATAAACTGAATTAATTGTCCATGAAAAGAGCCAGTAAATACCAGTCTAACTGACCCATAGTCCAAGAAAAACAAACCCTTTCATTCATGGGTGCCCCAGAAAGATGGTCAGGCAGGAAGGCTACTTGCATTCTGTGTCTCACCTTCTCTAGACATCAGGCACACGTGTTGGCCACCCCTGAATATGTCAGTACATAAAATGCATTCAGAAATGGATGGTCAGGGGTCACTTAAAGGGACCTAGCTTGACATTCCACCCATGATTTTGGTCACAATGAGCTCAATAATGATTATAAATATTCAGGAGATCAATAAAGTAAATAAGCAATGGAAAGATGCTTACTGAGCAAAAGTTTTGTCCAGTAGTTCCACATTGTTGATTTTTACGATGCATTCATTTTCCCGAAACAGTCCCTCCTGTTTGCATCTGCTGTTTTCTTCAATGCCACGGATGAAGAGCCCTAGGACCCTAGAATCGTTTAGGTTGAAATAAAACCTCTGAGTACCAATGTGTTCTTTATAGCTCCTCTTACAGCTATTCAGAAATAAGTATCGCTTTCTGTTAATAAATAGATTATGTTCTTCTTTTGCCAAATGGTTTATCTTTCAAACATACACACACAAACACACACACACACAAACACACGCACATGCACACACTTTTACCTGAAGACAAATACCCATATCATAAATAACAACCATTTGTAGGTTTGCCAAGATCTTAGGCTTTGGCTCAGCAGATACTAGGCCATTCAAGACTAGCAGCTTGAGTGGAGGCATCACAGTTGGCCGTAAGGAAGTGTGCCTGAGTAGCAAGGTAGAAACTTGGTGCTAGTGGTGTGAGATAATTAGACATGTTTTGCAGTCCTATTGCATGTATTAGTCATTTGCATATTAAAAAGGAAACAAACATAAAAAAATCAGGGCCAGAGAGGATACGCAGGGCCTCCCAGAGCTTTGGAATTTTAGTTCAGTGTGAGAAGAGGGAAGGGACTAAAAATGAAATAAAATAAAAAGGAAACTTTAGCAAATGATAGTTACATTTCCTATACAATTTTTTTCATATCCACGGAATTTACAGGATCCCCTTTGTGTACCTAACTCAGTGGATGCTCAAATCCTTTATGAAAAATGCCATTCTATTTGCATTCCTCTGTATGTTTTAATTATCTTTAAATTAACCATAAAATCCAATGCAATATAAATGCTATGTAAATAGCTAATGTAATGTGTAGGGGATAATGACATAAAAAGTCTGTATGCACTCAGTACAGACAGAAGATTTTATTCGTATCTTCAGACTGTAGTTGGTGGAGCCTGCCGTGGTTGGGAATCTTGTGGACACAGATTCTCAAATTCACATGCGGGTTGATGGTCACATGTGTATATGTGTGTTCATACATGCAATTTTTTATCACTTTCAGAAATCCAAAACTAAATCTACCACAAGAAATGGAACCTCTACAGACTTTAGCCATTTCTCACTTTGATGATATCCTTCATCTTTATGGCATGACACAGGCCCCACTGAGTGTCACACTGAGACAGAGAGATGGGTCTCCAGAGGAAACTACTGGGTGTGGAGAAACTGCCATCTCCATGTTCCCTGTCCCCTTATTGTTCTGTTTAGTCACCCTTTTTTGAATAAGAGCCTTGTGTACTATATTACATAGTCTGTTTTGTGTTAAATTTCAAGTCTAAATAAAATATGAGCACATTTTACAAGCGAATGATAAGGTCAGCTGAGCAAAAAGGGCAGCCTGTAATGAAAGCAGAGGAAAAAGTACGTTCTCTGTCTGGATAGCCACTAAATTGAGCCTCTGCCTCTGGCCTCAGTTCATTTAATGAGCTCAGACCACCTCAAGGTGTCAAGGGACAAGGTACACACAATGGAACTCAGGCTCCTCCTTCAGAATGTTAAACCAACACAGTGGGCTTTTGCTGCTATTCCTGAGCAAGTGGTAGTCATCCTAAGTACTGCAAGGAAGGGCTCCAGGGTATCCTGCAAGTGTGGGTGGGGTCCTGGGCTTCACCCCCTAGCTCTAGTAGAACTTTACCAAATTAATCAGACACATCACAGTGCCTTCCTTTCCCAGCACAATACTAATGTGAAACTATTTGACATGAAAAAGGGAGAATTAGACCAAAATCGTGCTTCCTCCTAAATTAAACTGCTTTCTGATAGTTCACAGTTTAGATTTTTGTTATGGTGGCTTCCCCATAACATGATCCATTAGGAGGCTCACGTGTGGTTATAAACTAGTTTATGTAAGTGATATTTTTTTAACAAGCATTCAAGTCTTCCTTTAATTTAATTCAGTACATCATCAGTCATGTAATGTTACTCCCTAGGATTTAATTTCACATTTTGGGAGATGAATTAATTCTTTCGGGCCACTGGGTTGCAATTTAGCTAGCATATTACAGCTGGAGCATGCTATGTGAACCTAGCTGATCTAAATAACCCAACTTCCCATGAAAAATTTATTGACAGAATAAGCCCAACTGTAAAACCTGTGTGTCAGAGGTAATTTTGGTAAAATGTAAAACTGACTGATTTCATTAGTTTGGTCTCCAGCAACAAACCCATCCTACCCTCCCTATTATCTTGAAGTTGTAAATTCCCTGCAGTATGATGTCATCTCTACCACTGTGAGGAAGCTTATAAAACACTATCTATTTCTACTTGCTGGTGGGGTGATAGCTGCTTTTTTTGAGATAAAAACTTACCAGACTTAACAATTAATGCTGTGGTGCAACCATAGTTTAAGATAGCCAGTTTATTGGTAGTGTAAAAGGGTGCTCAAAATTCAATCTCGCAGCAGGCTAAGGGGCCTGACAACTGCTTCTTGCTCATGTAGTCATCACTGAGACTCCTGTGCCTGACCTTCGTGCTAGCCCTGTGTTCCCACTGAATCTAGTGGCTGCACCATCCTGCTAGCTCACTGCTTGTCACTCAAACTCCTCTCCTCACATAGGGAATCTCTTCCTTCCATGGTATCTTTATTATGAAATGGAAGTGCATTACCTATTTTTAGTGAAGTAATTAGTGTTCTAATTCTTTAAATTTAATCGACACTTTAAAATTAATGTTGTGATTTTTCATTTGTTTGTAAGGACTTAGGGTTTTGTGTTTATTTTCTTTCCTAAAACAAAACAAAATAAACAAACAAACAAAGCTGGGAGAGCCAATGGCCCTCAACACAAGCAGTATCTAGCATCTCCATGCTCTGGTATGTAATGAATTCCTGGGGACTTCAGTTCATACTGTAGTCCCCAGGTTTTACTCAGATGTTCTTAGGATAAGTTTCTCATTTAGTAACAGGTGTGGCCATATTTTTCTGAATGAAAAACAAAAGAAAACACTGGAAGCAAAGCCAATTACAGTAGTTTTAATAAAGAATCAAATGTAAATTCTAATTTAAAATAATGAAACAAACTAATACATGGAAGGAAATTAAAAGCTAAGCATAGCACTATGACCTAAGCAAGCCCCCGTGCTCACACAGTGAGGCCAGATGGCAGTGTGAAGGCAGACACTTGTCTGACATGCTCTATAGGCCGATACATCAAGACATATGGGTTGAGTTAAGTGTGCTATTTCAGCCTGTACTCATTACTTCTTAACTTTTATTGGCTCATGTCTCCATTTCCATATGATTTTTAATTAAATTTCCTTTCTATAACAGTAGTGGATACCCCCAAAATATAATAGAACCATTTCTTCAAGTTACTGTATAGTGGACCATGAGCTTAAATGAAACCTCATTTGTGAATCAAACTGTTTCTGCTTTATCCAAAATAACTATTACACTGTCAATTTCTGCATTCATAGGTTGTGGGTTTTACAAGGAGCTGTCATGTTTTTAGTGCCATTTAATCCCCATGACCTTGAGGTGAAGGCGGTTTTTGTACAGACAGGTTTAGGGGCTAGCTGGAGGTTATGTGAGGACAACCCCAAAGAAGAAGGGGAGATCAATACATCCTGTCGCTTCTCCTCATCAGAAGTGAGAGGAGGGGAGTTTTCATTTAGAGGGCCATCTTGTTTTCTGAATTATTGAGGATGAAGAATGGTGAGTGTCACTGTGGATATTTTTTCATTTTGGGGAATTGCAAAGATCCTCTGTTCTATTCCAGGTTCATTAAACTAAAGGGCCTGGCAATTTACCCACTTTGGTATTTCACAGAGTCCTATCAGTACACTTCTGCCAAAAGCCATTAGGATTTCTCATAGGAACTGAATAAATACTCACCTTGTCTGTCAAAAACAACCCTTGTCTGTCCTCTGCCATAACCCATAACATATATAAACACACTTATTAACACACACAGGAAACCAGACAAAAAATGAGCCACTGGCTTTCCGCTTCATTTCTTTTTAAAGACGGTTCATTCCAGCAATAGCTTGCCGTCAGATGTTACATGGGAGAAAACTAAGGTGATGACTTTGCAATTACAGGTAGCAGATGGCTACCTGCTGAAGATGAAGCCAACCCAAATATCTCCTTCGATATGACCAACTGAATTGGGTAAATACCCAGAGCCAGGAAATTAATACTATATAACCTTTGGGAAAATTGTGGTTCTCGAAAGAGACATGGAATGCGGGCAAGTCAGAAATCTCAGTTGTGAGTGACTTTGAGGGCAAAAACAAACAAACAAACAGATGGGTTTTTCTGGTCCTCGATATATTGGGCTAAAATAGAATGTTCACTTCACTTCAATGATCACTTAAGAAAGTGGATCTAAGCTATTGTTTATAAATATGCCTTGTGACTAAGAAACTGATTTTCCTTAAGGTTTCTGGAGAACTCTGTCAGGGTCAGGGGAGTGCTGTAGGCAACCCTCTACAACACTCCCAGGGGATATGCAGCTAGCAGAAGTTGCAGAAGTTCCCTGTGGCAGGTGTTATATAGCTAGTGGAAGTTCTGGAAGTTCCCTCAGGTCATTGTGCTGGCAGTGATGATAGCTGCTCCCACTTCGTTCCCATCGGGAAAACAGACTTTTATACCCAGTCAGATGTGGATTTCAAGACACATCCCCACAATTTAAATTAGCATTTGCCAGTGTGGATTTATCAGCAAACATCTTTAAAATTCTAAAAGGATGTAATGAATTCTTTAGTGATCTGAACTGTGTTTTAGAAAAAAAAAAATAACAGAAAGATACATTTTTCTTCTATAATGAAATCACGACTAGAATGTGAATGCTTATTGGTTTTAATCCTATGTATATGAAGAATTTGGAATGACTATCTTCACTCATTGAAGAATATTTTATAATGGTAAAAGAAGACCCACTCAGTTGTGACATTTGTCTAACAATATGTTAAAATCTTTGCCAAGGAGCTTGTTTACTATGCGTCACTCTCAAGGATGCTCCAAGAAAGTACTTCATAATTAATTGTAAGTGGAGAGATTGGCATGATTTTTTTTCTCTGCATCCTAGAAATAAATGATTTTAGACCATTTCTAAAGCATGAGGACAATCAAAGAATTACTTAAGGAGTCCCTCTGATAAGAGACTGCCACTTAACGATCCTGGAAAAGGCCTTCATCAGAGTTTTCATCAGCATGAGCTTCTGAGACAAGGAAAACACCTTACCTTCCACTCAGGGATGAAAAGAAGGGCACCACATGTATTCCCAGGGGGTCTCCTTCCCCAGAAATCTCCACCACTCTTGTCATATCACTGTGGCAGAGGAAAACAGGGACACACATGAGTTTTAGCTAAAAACCAGATGAGGCACACTAACCCACCCACAACGCCCTTCCCTGACTGAATCAACTACTGTGACTTCAACATCTGCATCAGGTCAGGAGTGCTGGGCTTGCTGATGTGTTTTGAAGATCCACAGAATAAGCATGTTAAAAGACTCTGATTTCTTATTCGAAACTTCCTTAAAAAAAAAAAAAAGTTAAGAAGTAACTCACCACTAAAACAGCCTTCCACTTAATCTGCACAGATCAACAGAGATTAAAAAGAGGTCACAGGATGAAATCTCTCCCTGATGAGACTTTCTTGAAAATGACTGTATAGACCATGAACACATAGAAATAAGTGTATCTGTTTTTTAGACAACTAGGAATATAATATGATACACTAGGAATAAAAATTCATAGATACACCAAGAATAAAAATAAGTATCTATTGCTTAGGATGAAAGCAGGATTTTTCCCCCAGAAAAGGGTAAAAAAGTGAAATAAAATTATTTATTAGAAACTGCACTGGATTGCAGTTTATAATGGCGGGGAAGCCACAGTTGGTAACACAGTTGGGCATGTTCAAAGCAATATAAATCAAAGCTTGCGTCAGTTGTACTCAATGGAACAATTCCAAGATTTCACCTCCTGGTTTATTTATTTATTTCTGTCTGTAAGGCAGAAAAAGAGGTTGCAAAAATACAGAGAAAATGTATTATAGAAAGTCTGACCTGCCTAACCTCACTCAGCTTAGGAAAGGATGAGTGAGAAACACAAATAAGGAGTGTATGACTGAAATATAGACTGTGCTGGAAGCTTCCGGGTTGTAAGGAGTGGTGTTAACGGGTTTTTGTAAAGATGAAAAATAACAACGGTGAATAATTATTGGCTCCTTTAATCCGAGAGAGAGAGAAGACAAAATTGCCAGAGGAAAATGATAATGCTGAGGGAAGCATCTCCTTTATGGAAACTGTAAACATATTTCTATTTTTTTCCATTCACATGAAAATGACCTGAAACTGGACGTCAAATTAAGAGCCACAGCTGCCTCAGATGCTTTTCTGTTCCAAACTGAAAACGGTAAAAATCTGTCTTCTTGCTGCAGAGTTGAGAACAGCATTAAGAAAACAATGTGTCTGATGATTTCACCCTGCAAAAAGTCTTTGTTTTTAATTATCAGCAATCTAAAATAAATATATTAAGTATATTCTAGTCAGTAGATCAGTCTTATTGTTAATATTTTTTCCTTGCAACCCTATTATCAAAAAAATGATAAGATAAAATAAAGCAAGACAGTTTCTGGCATTTCAGGGAGATGATGCAATTTCAAAACTGATAATAAATTTCAAATGATCTTCACTCAGATTCTGTCGATATATTCAACTTGTTCAGTCAAGCAGGCTGTATAAAAGGCCTGCAAGAAAATCACAAACCAAGCAAACCTTAGCATGATGATATAGAACAAAGGACTTGTACCTATGTGAATAAGCATAGATGTGAACATAGGCGTGTCTGGATGGACATTGATGCACATTGTAAGCCTGAATACAAAACATTTGGCAGGAACAGAAATTTATAAAGAGTTTGATGATCCAATCTAGTAATTTTCATATCATAATAAATGTATAGCTAAATACAAGCATTGAAAGAAGACCAACTCCAAAGATACTTACTTAAAACGCTTAAACACTGAGACTAAGACCTTTTCTTATCATTACCTTTCCCTTTATAATTTTTAGAGTTTTGCCCACAACACAATTCTCTACTGACAAGTATATCAAGTATCTGTATACTGGTGAATATTACCTATACCCGTGGACATTACCCACACTTAATATAGAAGCTTGAAAATATTACTGTTTAGTCTAAAGCAGACTTCATAAATACAAAGGCTCACAAATAGCTTTTTTAAATATTGGCTGCCATGAAATTCATTTTTTTATATTTTACAAATATTTATTTAAGTTTACTAAAAAATTGTCCTGTGAAACATAATATATTTGATACATATTATTATTTAATAATTATTAATTTTGTGTTTTTACAATCAACAAAGTAAATCTTATACTTTATTCTGTCTTATTCAAAGCTACTAACATTTTGGAGAAAATGCAGATTTTAAAATTTATTTCTTTAAGAAATTCCCTTTTTCTACAATTTAGAATACACTCTTTTCTCTTTCAGGGTAAACTTCTAATTTTCCCTTATGTATGACAGTCATAATTCTTGAACTAAGATTCTTGACAACTTTCAGAGTACTCAAAAAAGACTATCACCCAATGGGGGAGGGAACACAGTGAACTTGTAATTTTACAAACTATAATAAACATGCAGAAACTCACAGAAACCTAGATCTGCTTTAAATAGGCATTTATATCTACATAGATCATGCTCTTATTTTATAAACGTTCATCTGTAAGTTGTTTCTACATGCAAGGAAAGGTGTGTGAAATATGATGCCATATAAATATGTTCACATATTTTTATTAATTGTGAAAGTAGAATCACCACCATTTTATAAGTGCTTGATGTTGCGTAGAAATGTCTGTATATATACTCCTCATGAGATATAAACACAGCAAGGAAGGCTGCACTCACACACACACACACTTATTTTTCCCAAAATACCTCAATACATATTTCAAAATTGAGACTTAGAAAAATCTGAAAACACGCTGCTAATAGTATTTGTTTAGATAAATCCCAGAGTGCAGTTTGTAGTTGGGGTCCAGCTGTTCAAGTTCTGAGGACAGTGAAGAGACCATGCTACATGAGTGGTAAGGGACACCAAGAATGAAAGGTACAGAAAATGAGGTAGAAAGGATATTCCTAAGTGGAAGGTAAAACAAACCACGGCAACAGACAAAAAGTGTGACCATTGCAAGCAAAGGATCACAGCACAGAGAAGTGGTTAGTGTTCCTTATATTCTGGGAGATACTAAACAATATTAAGCTAGCTGAACTCCCTAAGGTCCATGTGACAGAGATGACTCAATAGTCACTAGGAACAGCCATTGCCAGTCTAAGAACTCAGGGCAGAACTATGGAAAAAGCTCCTGATCAGTGGATAAAGATGAGACTGTCGATATGGATAGATACCCTGAAAGCCTAATGCTAAATGCTAAGTGCTTCACCTGCTTTCTATTGACAAAGAGGAACCGAAGCTTCAGGCAGATGATGCAATGTGTGCTGCAGATGTCTGTAGGTCTCATTCCTTCATCCCAAGACAAATGGACAGAATTTCCATTAAATTTAATCAACATGGTCTCCAGTCTCTCAATTGGAGAGAAAGGATTAAGGACAGAGGACAATTTTTCTTCCAAGGGTGGCTATGAGTCCCATGTCTGTCTGAGTTATTTAATACAAAATGCAAGCTTCGGTGCCCTCGTTTCTGTAATGAGGACCTTGTGATTTGGGACACTCCCAACACAGATGTAAGTTTTAAAGAGAAAATAACTCACACATATGTATCTGACAGGTATGAAGGAATTGATAACTTTTTGCCATTTCTATGATTATAAGAATTTCTTTTTTGAGACTGATTTTCACGTTGTGGCCCAGGTTGACCTTGAATTATGTGTCTTTCTGCCTCAGCCTCTGGATTTTAGTGTTATGTTCTCCTGCCTACCTTGATTATTAGCACTTTCTAAGGGAACAAATAAATTTATGGCCTTTAAAGGAATAATTATAATTTTATTTATTTTTAATCTCACTAATTTTACTGGTAAAACATAAACAACATAAGATCAAGGGATATACTCCTCCACAATATTGGTTACATGGGAAGGGAAGACAAGAGGTTTTAATAAATGGTCAGAAGATGTGTATTTGTTTCTTCAGTTACTGAGTTGAAGACCCATCATATCTAATGCAAATGGGATGGACTCAGTTGAAAACCCAAAATAAGGGTTTGATGATGACCCTGAACTCTACTCCTTGTAGAACCATCTAGTGGGTATAAATGCATTGATTAAAAATCTCTGAGTTTGATGGTAGAGGTTATATTAACAAATCTATTTTAATTCTATTCATTTTAATTCAATTATTATAAACTCAGCCACTTTGTGGGGAATTTCTGTAAAATAAAAATCAAAAAATCAAGCAAACAAAACAATAAAGTACCTGAGACACTAGTGGACAGTGTTGGAAAAGATAATAATGATGAGAAAGGGCAATAGAATAATACAAGTGTCGTAAATATGAATGCTTGGATTCATAAGGGCTCTAGATCTCTGAGTTTTTAAAATTTGGAATACTCATCCATAAATATATATGGGGGGATGGGACCCAAGTCAAAACACCAAATTAATTTAGGTTTCATATACACCTTACTTACAGTCTAAGGTAATTTCCTAAACTATTTCTACAATATCTTAATAACTTTATAAAATGAAGTGTGGAAATTTTCTACTTTGGCATCCAATAGACACTGAAAATGTTACAAAATTCAGAAAGTCATGGTTTTAAACTCGCAGATTATGGTTGATCAACCATATTAGAAGAAGCAGTCTAGATCAGTGCAAACCATTATTTGGCAGGTAAGGTGGCAGTTGGCTTCTGAGTGTTATAAGCTGCACCCATTGAATACATACACACTTTATATCACTTCCATTTTAGAATAAGCTAGTGCACAAGGAATGGAAGCATGTCCAGTATCATATCATTCATATAAAGTGGAATCAGAAGGCAAATTGAGACCTGTAGCAGGAGTCCTTGATCCCTTTGGCATGCAAGTTTCAAAACACAGGAGCTTAATGATGTAGACCAGAGAGAAAGAGAGAGCACAGAATGAAGAGAATAAGGTCAGCTCATCAAATTCTTCCTGAGGGAAGTGGTATCATGAGAAAGTACCTTGATAAATGGATTTTCCCCCAGAAAATACAAGGTAAGGTGATGAAGAGGGCAGGCACTGGATGGGAAGCAATGGTGAAATACTAAAGCAGAATGGCTTGTGGACACATTTATTGGCTATAATGGTAGAGGTGGAGG